ACTCTCCACACACACCTAACGATGCATCCCGGTATAAGTCCCCAATCTAGTATTTATCTTTCAGTACATTTTACTTTCATGGGATATCTCGGTATCAAAGGAAGTTTTACTAAGATTGAAAAAGAGGTTCACCGTTTTGGTTATTGTTTTCACGTTCATGCCGATGCACAGGCACGTCACTTATGGCTCGTGTCCGTTTTCTGACTCTCTACATCTTAGAAAATGTTGTAGTGGGCATGTCAAATGATAAACCTAGACATTCATGGAGGCTATGGGAATATTGTGTTAAAAGTTGAGGGATTGTCTGCTCTCTAACTTCAAAATACACTAGAACATAATGACTCCATACAAGTCATAGGCACATTCATTAACGCCCTGTTTCCCTAAAAATTGCCTCCTAAAGCAATCATGATCCCCCAAAATTTCACGAAATTATTGTGCTGACATCTGAAGAAAACAATGCTGAGTTCTCCAGGGAAGGATGCAGTTTAAATCGCCTGCTTTTAGTCATGTCAAGCGATAAGCCAACTATCCATCCCCTAAACAAACATTATGCATCATTCAGAACCAAAGGGATAAAGTCACAGGGTAAGATATCAGTTATTGTACAGTTGATTAACAATTAGTTCATATGATTAGGTAAGAATATTTCAGGCATAAATAACATTCACCTTTCATATATTATAATGGCATATCCCAAATCACAAATAAATAAAGTAACAAGACTTTCAAAAATATAGTAATGAGGTTTGACTGCATGAAATCCTAAAACCAAAACTGAATCAAATGATTAAGCTAGTAGGTAAAAAATCAGAGCTCTATTTAAGAGGGGCATTGATTATAACAATAAATAGTTACAAAAATTTATACCTTGTTACTGAAATGCACTGCATTCCCTTTTGCAGTTCTAGATGTTGATGATGCTCCACCATTAGAATTCTGAGGCAGACAAGTACGAATTGACTTCACACTGGTAGAACAGTTCAAAAATATAAGAGGTAAAAATAAAAAGTACTTGTGAAGAAACATTCCTGTATAATATCTAATAATCAATGAAGGATGAAAATGTACCTTCCCACGGAGGAGAAAATCTTCATGAGATTCTGGTGGCAATGGTCCTCGGGTAAATTTTCAGCAATAACTATACGCGACTATACACACGGGGAAGAACAAAGGTCAAAGGCAATGATAAGAAAAATTAACTTCTTTAAGGAAAACATGTAAGTTGCAATTAACTAACATCAAATGGAAAATAACTCTGTGTTACATTCAATAAAAATTGTACATGCATATATTTTGAACATGCCAACAATTGAACAAGGTTCACCTCACACGATCAAGAAATAGATTTATCTTAAGTATGACTTACTTGTAGCTCTTCCATGTCGGATTCAGTCAAAGGATGTTGACGTCTGACCTTTTTGCCATCTTCACTAACCACCTAGAGAACAGAAAAATCAACCACAAACGAAAGTATAAAAAACTGGAAAGTCGATCATTGATGGCCACAGGAATACTGTACAATCAGACGATGTATTGCAGTTTCCAAAATATGCAAACTTACCAACTTTTTTGAGCTCCGCAGAATACTAGCAAGTTGGGAAGCACCGGTGATGACGTTTTTTATCTTCTTAAATGATGCAACAACAGAGACAGGCACTACATGACATGAAGGTAGCAAAACAGTTAAAATTCATTTCAAATTGGTAATTGAGAAGCAGCTGAGCATCCATATAGCATCAAAATAAACAATCAAAACAAGAATTTTCCATAGCAGGCATTAATGATCTTAGTTAAAATATACGTGTGACTTGTATAGACCAACTCGGTCATTTTAAGATAGTCGGGGGCTATTTAGTAAATACATTCTTTATCTTTGCATTTATCTTTCTTTTTGGACATAATTTAATACAACAGTCTTCTTCTTCTTGTTGGAAACTTTTTCTTGAGCTGTTAGTCTTTTATGATGGCTGGTGGTGAGGTGTTGTGTGGTATAAGGATGGTTGTTGTTTTCCTTGTGGATTCAGATTATGAATTTTTTGGGTAGTAATGTTTTTTTAGTGGCTACTGTAGGTTTTTTGGGATTGAAAATCAAACCCTTGATAAAATGGCTGACAAAAGATAGTTTCTCCCATGGCCGTTCTCGAGACTCCCTCTCTGATTCATATTAAATTGGATGGTTCAAATTATTGAGTTTGGACTAAGATTTTGGAGGTGCACATCGTCGGTTGGAAGAAAGGTTAAATTTCAGGATGAAAGACTGTACCAGCAGAGACTTATCAATGATATGACGAGTGTGAAGATGATGATGCTCTAGTCATGTCTTGGCTTATAAAGTCCATGACCGATAATCTAATGCCCACTTTGTTAAATGTGGAATAGCCAAGAAGGTGTTGGATGCCATAAAAAGAAGCTACCTTGATGTCTCTAACCCATCAATGGTCTATGAACTGATGAAGAAGTCGTTACAGTTACATCAAGGAAATATCCTCTTGCAGAGTACTACAATGAATTGATCTATCAATTCATGGAGCTTGATTAGGTTACGGTTCTAACCGGAAGAAAAAGAAGAACAGAATTTATAACAGATCATGGATTGAATTGCAGAGGATTACAGGTAAGCAATTGACAAACAAGACTCCTTTCTTTCACTCAATATTTGCCTGCTTAATAAGCTTTCTCCCACTCTTATTTATAGCTATTCTCTAACTAATTTTTTCCATCCACTTGCTTCTCAACAGAATTCGGTTCCTGCCCACTCCTCATGTCTTGCAGCTCTTCTAGAATTGGAGGCTTATGAATAACCCAGGGTTCCAAAGACACCTTGTCCTCAACGTGGAAGTCTAGGTAAATTCCCAATTGCAGATTACAATATAGGCGGACAATTTCAGACATGGTTGGAAAATATGGTGTCCCTGTTTCGGTGTAGTTAATGATAAGACATATTTATATCCTTCTTCAGATTGAGAAGACCCCTCCAATAGCTGCAGTGAGATACCAAGATTTGGCTATCCATAAACAGATTCTTTACAGTGAGCAACAGTCGCCTTCTAGTATGCCTGAGATGTTGTAAATTGTTGGGTAGTAAGACTGAGATCGAATTGGTGCCATAGTATAGCATCGTCTAGGTCTTCACCTATTGCCCACTTTAGACTGTATGTAGCACGTTCTTGGATTTCCAGCGGTTCATTTTGTTCAATATCAAATCCTATAGCCGCCATTGTTGCCAAGGAGTGTTTATTGGCAGCCACGAACTGATCAGATGAAGTTCCCCATCAGCATTTGCCCCAGCACTCAATCGACCACCTACAATTAAAATGGTATCCATCAAAATTCCATAACCAATTGCACCAGTAACGTGAATTGGGTCTGCCTCTCCAAAATCAGGCCCACAAGTTTTTCCGTAGTTGCTAGCCCTTTGCCTTCTAACAATTGGGCCATCTCCAACATCAAGCTTATGGACTTTTCCATATGGATTTCAGACTTTATTGCCAGCCCATTGGCATATTTCTCTTGAAATAAGCACATTAACCAAACCTTCCCCACCTCCTTCAACATCACGACCCGCCATAACAAACCTAAATAGCCAATCACCCGCTTCTTTCACTCTATGCCCTAGCCTCTTCCTCATCTTCCCCGTGAAATTATGCAAAGATGGTGTTAGAATCTCAGAGCTTGTACACTTCATTGAATTCCTCTTATTTCCATGCTCAAAACGTCTTAGGTGGTAGCTGATCCTCCACAACACTTCCAGATTCATCCCCCTCCATAAATATATTCATGGCTGCTTTTGGAAGAACAAGAGCTGCCAAAGTTATCTGGGTTTCATCCATTAACTGCATCATCTTGGCCATGTTCTGGGTTAAGTGCTCCACTGATCTTTCCAACCCAAGTAAGCACTGAATTTCTGTTTTCAATTCCTTCATCTCCTTCTCCCACTTTTATTTATATATAGTTAATATCTAACTAATTTTAGAGGCACCAACAAAGGATAGGTTGAATGAACCAGACGCGGGCTAAGAAGCTTCGTAGTCTGACTTTTATCCACTTGCTTCTCAACAGAATTCTTTTGCTGCCCACTGCTCAAGTCTTTCGGGCTCTTCTAGAATTGGAGGCTTATCAGATTACTGCAGGCCAAATGATACAACTAGTAAGCTAATGTTGAAAAATTATGGAAGCGAACTTCTAAAGTTCGTGTTTATATGTTTCTTGCAGGTCTTTATCACAGTTTCGATCAAGTGAGTAGTCGAATCATAGCTATTTTCCTTCTCCCAAAAGGAAGCCTATTAAATGGTTAGTCGTGAGGCGCAAAGACAACTCATCATCAAAACACAAGTTTACTATGAGGCTTCTACTTTGGCGGTCCCCAAGACCAACTAGCGATCAACACCACCTACCGTGTGTAATGAGTCCTGCCATAGCACTAAACATTTTATTAGCAAGTGTTGGAAGAAGCATGGCTGTTCGAAGTAGTTCAAACTCAAGCAAACCAAGAAGAGAAATAGGAAACATTCTCAGGTTGCCCTCACTCACACCTATCCGTCCTTTGCTTCTCATGTAGCTCACGTGTCTCCTCGAGAAGGAAATTTGGACTAGCATTTACCACTGTACTTCCAACACGGGTTACGATTCTGGAGCAACCCATCATTTGAGTAGTAATTCTTCTTTGATTCTTTAACCTCTCCACTTTTTAACGACTGTTCAAGTTGCTAACTGGACCTCTATGCTAATTATAGGGACCGAAAATGTCTTATTTTCTCACACATTCTCTAATGTCTTCTGTTTTACAAGCACTTACTTTCTATAATAATATTCTTTCAAACAGTAAAATTATGGAAGATCTCATACAAGACCTGGCTTGTCATATGCATGAGTCTTGTAAAAAAAAATTCATACAAAATCCTAGTGATCGACACATGCAAGTAGTGATGAACGAGATACCCATAAAAATACCATCCAGGTAAGCCAATGGGATACCAAAGCAAAGGGGAAAAGCAATCCAATAGAGAGATGCCATTCTTTTATGCTTTAGTGTGGAGCTCTTGACACTCGAGTCACAAAACCCGAAGGATCGTATCTTGGCATATTCTGTATTCTAAACACAAGCATCTGGATATTGGGGGATATACAAATTCAAACTTTGCTGGAGTGAGACTGTATAGGAAGTCTACGTCAGGGTATGCATCATTTGTTAGAGGTAATTTGCTGACTTGGAATAAAAAACAAAATGTGGTATTGTTGTCTAGTGTCGAAGCTAAATACCAGGCACTGCTCCATGCAATCACTTAACTTATTTGGTTGAAGATTCTTCTCGGTGAACTAAATTTGATCCAAATAAACCCATGTTGCTTTTGTGATGACATAGCAGCATTGAGGTAGCAAATAACCCAGTACAACATGATTTAACAAAGCACGTTGAAATCGACATGAACTACATTAAGGATAACCTTAATTTTGGGAATTATTGATGGGGAACAAAACCTAGATTTTATTTCGACTACATGTTCAAGTTCTCACCTTCTTATAACTTCATGGACTAAGATATGATTTTATCATATGGTCAACACATGTCCATTAAGGGCTTAGAACTAGAGGAAGGGTCATGTATTCCATTGGTCCATGTCTATTTTACTTGTTTTTCCCATGCATAAGCAAAGTAAAGGCAATGGCCTAGAGCCAGAGTTCTCCAAGTTCCTATAGCCATTACATAGTTCTTCTTGACTATGCTATTAACTTGGTGCATCCTCTCAAAGTCCAGTATAGATTTCAAGCATTCAACTCAATATTTTTATATATGAGTTATTTATTCTTCTTTTTGCTCCAGAACTCTTTTGCTTAAATGAAGGAGCCGCTATCTATGTATAAGAAAGGTAACACAAGGAATAAAGTGCCAAATCTTTGATCAATGAACCAGTTCCCAACCTCCAACTATTTCCTTCTTCTTTCGTATCCCGCCGCAATAAAAAATGAGCTCTTAATCAAGAAAGGTCAATCACCTAAAATTTGATCATCTTTCCTCAATAAATCGATTTATTAAAAACATATTTTCTTAAAAACAAATATAAATATGGGTAAGCACCAACACAGATTTTCCAGAAATGTTCCGAAAACAAGTTTTATTTAATTAACTAAAAGAGTAAATTGTTTCACTCATAGGTCAATTGCATTTAATAAAAAAAGGACGTTTTGGCAAGTTAAAAAGAGGAAACATTGTTTTCCTCTTCTAGGTTTAGATCCCTTCTCGTGCAGCCGATACCAAATCTAGCGCATCGCTGATGAAATAGCACAACCCTTCTGTTGGTTACTAACCAGGTAATCATCCATTTTTTATTTTTTCCCGATGAATTTTAATAGCTCATTGCATGTCCTGCTACATGTCTGGCGGCAATAAATCCTAGCGATTTCAGCAGGCGTCAGCTATATGTTGCGGTGTGTTGGTGACCGACACATGTCAGGCACCAGCTCACTAGCGCCAAGACGGTTAAGCGCTTTACAATAATCTGGTTGTTTCTTCCCATGCAACAGCAAATATACCTCTAAAACAGGTATGCATATGCATAAAGAAATCATCCAAATGTCATCAAACAAGCATATTTTCAGACAGTGTTGACTTTTTTCCGTTAGATCCACAACAACATGAACATACTGCAGTGAAGGCAAGATTTTCTTAAGCAGTTGACATTAGAAAGTTAATAGATTCAATAGCGCAGGGAAAAGAATCTTGAAAATAAACGTTCTTAGAAAAACCTTACCATAGCCATCAGGATCTTTAATCATGAACCCAGGTAAATGATCGGTGGTAGCCAGATTGATATCACTGAAATAAAACTCCACCTGCAACATAAAGGTATCTAAAATTAGCATGTTCTTATAAAAGGAAAGCAATGAAGCATTTGCTAATGTTGTAAAGACAACACTGAATTCATTACGACAAGCGTTAAGAAAATGCAAAATTATTGGAGGTACAAATATAAAGAAATTGATTATCCAAATTATAAACAATTAGACGGAAATGGTAAGTACTAAAAATCAGCCAACTACAAAGTCAACAGTGGTAAGCTTCTTTTCTCGTAATGAAGTTTCGGCAGGATTTGGTGCTTCAGCTATTCAAGTCTTCCCAGAAAATAGACATAAATACTGAAAATGAACCGTCGAAATGCTAATTTGGATAATAACCATAATCAGATCTTTGGCCAAACCTCATCAAGTCAATTCACACAAAATATATTACTGCACATAGTATCACAAGTATCCATTAATTATTCATTTTGTAAAGATAAAGCAAAACCATATTATCCTGACCAAGATATACCATATTTTCCACTAATGAGTCCAAACAAACACAAATTCAGCAATAATTATCATTCAAAATCACAACAGTCAAATCAAAATATGCGAAATGCAATATTTAAGCATAATACATAATACATCGCAAATTATCCAAAATTCAGCAATAATATAAACTAACACGTTCCAGTGGAAATTATAGGGCCTTGAATCCCACATCGGAAGTATGGAATTCCTTTGTGTGATTTATACAGGCTTGTACTCTCCACCTTCAATGGCTAACTTTTGAGGTATGGCTTTCCCAAGTTCAAGTTCTATGACAAGTTACTGGATGTATTCAAGGATTTATAACTAGATATGAGCACAGGAACACAGTAACTCTAATGCTGTCTCTCTTCCTGTTCCAAGTAAAATCGTTTCCTAATATCAATAGCTTGAGTATGCTTTTGCCCTAAGAAAGATTAGAGTGGACTGTTCGCAATTACAACCTTCTAAATAAAACAAACAATAAAGAATCAAAGAAACGCAATCACAAGAGACTGACAAACACAAGAAACCCAGTAACTGTCAAACAGTTCTATAATCGAATAGTTCAAACTCGCAATAAACATAATAAACCATATAAAATCTTGCCTGGCTGAGAATTTTCTGATGGGAATCTGGCATTCCGTTTTTGGTCGAAACGGTCGCAGAGGCAGCGGTATTACCATCGGCCATTTCTGCAGATACGGCCGGGGTTTGGATCCCATTCAACAATTCCTGAGACGGATTTAAGTACCCATAAAACGGCATTCCCCCATGTTGATAAAAGTTCTGTACCGCCACTTGACCTTCAAAGCCATAGTAAGGCCTCAGGGGCGACACGAACGGAGGCCTCGTATAAACCCGCTGCGCCACCGCCGGCGAAGGCGGCGGAGACTGCGACTGTGAAGGCGACGGTACAGAGGCCGACCGTGGGACGAATTCAGGCGCCTTAGCGTTGAGCTTACTGCTAATAGAGGCAAGGATGAGTTGATTACTCTCCGATGATCCTAGGGTTTCGTAATCTTGCTGATCCATCAATCAATCTTGATCGATCTGATTACAGTCTGGTAATATACGTCCTACGATCAACTGATTAATCTTGATTAGAGTAAAATTTACGTATCAAAATAAACTAACTGGATAGTAAATTTATTGATTTCTGGGACGACTTTCTCTGTGGATTGAATTGGAAATCTTTCCACAGAGCCCAGATAGACACTACGGTTGTGTGTGTGGAAGAGAGAAGGAGAAGAGTGGGGGGGTGGGGGGGGGTAAGGATGGAGAGACAAAGGGAGAGGAATTCTCGGAGTATCAATACATATACCCAATTGTATATATATTCCCAGATTGTCTTCATCACACCACTCACACGATAGTTTAGTGCAGGGGTGGTAGAGTGGGGGTTATTGTGGGACCCAATGTAGATAATCCATTGTTTTCTTTTCTTTTCTTTTCTTTTTTTCAGATTTCAATTTCTGTTTATGGAACTCCAACTATTATATACGACAAGTATGCTGAAATCCTCAACACAATATCCAAAGTTATCACACAGTGCAATGAAGTCCAGCTTGAAGCACCTCATCAGAGACGAGGATCAGGCCCATCCGAGGCCCCCTCAACTTGTCCGGGGCTCATTAAGCGGACAATGTCTCTTATAATAGATTTGAAGATCTATTAGAGGTGATTGATGTAACACTAGTAATAAAGTATGTCAGCCTATTGTATAGGGATACTGACCATTTATCAATGTATTAATTGTATGAATAGATAGTGATGTGAAATCTTAGTTAGGGAGATGGCCACGTGGTTTCGATCCAACGGTTATCAATGTATTAATTGTATTAAATGGGCGACTGACCATTTATCAATGTATTAATTGTATGAATAGATAGTGATGTGAAATCTTAGTTAGGGAGATGGCCACGTGGTTTCGATCCAACGGTTATCACGTCGGCCAATGCATTATAAATAGATTCTCTTTGTAATTAAAGAGGGAGGTTGGATCATTGATGGAAAAGAACGTATAATCATATATTTGAAGACATACACTTGAATTCTTGAAATAAACACATTAACATTTCGTATATCCTTCCACATATTCTTGTTTGTTATTACATAGATTAGTTTACATTCGGTCCGGCATTCCTAGAAGTAGGCAGGATCGTTCAACTCAAATGCCTAGAAATAGGTCTGCTTACCTTCTACCCCAATGCCTAGAGATATGCAGCAGGAATCTCATCAACATAAAGGTCAGTCGATGTGTCATGAAGAGCCTCCCGTCCGCCCACCTAGAAATAGGTGGGATAGAAGAATCCAGGCTAGAAATGGAGTAGGAATTTCTCCACCGCCGCCCCAATCCCAAAAAGGGGATAAAGAAGATTCAGAGGGCCCCAGAGGTCCTGTGACCTCGATGATGACGATGAACATTCTCCCTTCTCAGAGGAAATAAAAAATGCTCCCATGCTGGATCACTTCGCACTCTCTAAAATCCCAAAGTACGATGGGAAAGGTGATCCTGCGAAACACATGAACAACTACAAGACTCATATGAACAACTACAAGCCACCCCAGCAATGAAATGCAGGGCTTTCCACTTAACGCTAAGTGGAGGTGCTGAAGTCTGGTACACAAGGCTGCCTGATGGGGGTATCCGAAGTTGACCAGACATGAAGAAGACATTTCTAAAACTCTTCGCAACCAGCAAAGAAGGGGGGAGACCTATCCAACGACTTCAAGATATGCAACGCAGCAGTGAGAGACGCTAAAAAGCTTCTTATCCCGCTTCACAGATGAAATGACTTACTGCGTACAAGTCACGAATAAAGAGTCACGGCCGCTTTAAGATGAGGATTAGACACGAACTCCCTCTTTTAGAGAGATGTGCAAAGTAAAGATCCCACCATCTACGATACCCTATTGGAAATGATAAGGCGCGAGATCATCAACGAAGAAGTAAAGGATCACAGAAATACGGCGAGGCAGGGCTCCCACCTCCTCAAATGCAAAGAGGAAAAAGTCCAACTTCTCACCTGATGGACCATCAGGCCTCATTGAACTACGGGCAGGAGCTTGCTGCAGCAACACTCAATGCAGTACCGACCTTAGCCTATGAGAAGATAAATCCTAGTGCTGAAACGCACCAACGTCGACCTTATCCAATGCATCCGCAAAGAGGGCAAGGTAAGTGGTGAGGTGCTGAACTTAGAAATAGGGACGAAGTACCCAACTACTGTTCTTATCAATCACATAGATATCGTATGGAGAATTGTTGGGACGTTGCAAGAAATTCCCAAAATCAAAACCGGGCAAGAGGAACGTGTCTCCCAAGGAATGCTTCGTATAAGCCGAACTTGCAGCCTAGAAACAACGAGCAGCGTCTACCTAACAGGGACGACCCTATAAGAGGAAGGGAGAACGACACTGAAAGGCAAGAACTTGCAGCCTATAAACATCGAGCAGCGTCTACCTAACAGGGACGACCCTATAAGAGGTTGGGATAACGACACTGAAAGGCACTGGGAGGGCCAGAGGCAAAGGCGAAGCCCCCCACTTAACGGTGAACAGGAGCCCGTCAGGGAGATCGATACAATCATCGGAAGTCCTCATGTGGGTGGGGAGTCCAGAAATCCTCAAAGGAAACTATGGCACCAAGGGCCACTTCGCCTTCCGCATCTCCTTCAGCAGCCTCTTCATTGAGGACAATTACTCGGTTTCCTTCTGCTGGTGTTTGAGGCTCTCCCTCGTCCTCATCATTATCTTCAAGGAATTCTGCCATGAGCTCTGAGATGTCATGATGAGTATGCGCTTCCATCCATTCGATAACTTCAATATAGGCATACCTCCTCCAATATACGCCAAAACGTTGGTATGCTTCCGTCAAATGGAAATTGGTTAAAAATCGAGCATCAGCCTCATTACGGTCACGCTTAGCGTTGAGGCGAACTACCTCAACTTCTCCATCCAATTTGGTCACTTGGGAGGTCAGTTCCCCCCACCTACCCCGTCAACTCAACTTTTTCTTTGTTGGCCTTTTCGAGGGCCTCCGCAGCCAATTTCTGGTGGGCATCAGAAGTCTCCACTCGCCTTCGTTAACGAGGCCACTTCACTTTGAGATAAGTGGACCTCCTTCTTCAAAGATTCAATTTCTGCCAACGCAGAAGCAAGTTTCGTCGATTCCTCAGCTTCTTTCTTTTTTATCGCGTCGGCCTCGGCTTTAA